TAAATCAAGACCTAAAAACCAAAAAAATAAAATTATTATGTATCTTTATTTTTTTTTTACGTTTTAATTTTTTTAATATTTTTAGATCATTTTAATATGCTAATATTAAAAATATTTTAAAAAAAATATATAATATCAATACTTTTCAAAATAAAAAATACTTTAAAAAATAAATATAATTCTATTTTTAAACACCCCAATAAAAGAAAGGCAAAACTCACGCACTTTCAGTTGAGTCCCTCTCGTGTTTATCTTGTGAAGCGTGAGTCATGTTTTTATGGCAGGTTTGTTGTTGTTTCCGTTGTTTTTAGCTCGCTTCATGTACTCCGTCCCTTCCTCCGATTTGTCATGACTAATCACGCCCTATAAGTACCCTGAGCCTCCATGTGTTCTATGAACACAGGTCTAATACCAAGTTGACCGACCCGTTACTTGACCCGCGAGTAGTGTGGCAAAGAAAATGGACCCATTACCTTGGGACTAGAGAAAAACGGGCTGGAGATTCATCCGCCATGAGAATGGAGGAGGAATCATGTGCTTCAGTGACCACTGCCCGAAACTCATTACGACCTCTATTCGAGGTTTAAAGTTCTCCAGGAAAACGGCAGTGTCCCTTCTCTAGTCTCTAATAATGCCACTAGTCAATGGTGTAATTATAAGTTACACGGGGTTGATGACTAACCCCAAAAAAATAAAATAAAAAATACCTATTTAATTTTTATTCTCTTGCTTGAACCAATCATACGAGCGCGAGCTTTTTATTTTTTTCTTGTTAATTAATAATTCATATTAAAATTTACTATAAAAATAATAAAATAAAATTATATATATATTCATAGAAAAAACTATATTTTTTAATGTACAATAATATCTTTTCAGGGAGGGATAAAAAAATTTTAAAATAAACTTTTAAATTTTATTGTTTAAAATATATATTGTTTATATTTATATTAATTATTTCTTAATTTTTTATATAAAATATTAAATATTTTTTTATTTTTTTTCCAATTAATCTAAGTTAACCTATATAATTCAATATCTAATTTCTTAATCAAATCACCCAGTTTAAAAATGTAGTTACAGTTATTTTTCAAAGTATTTTTTATTTAAAAATATATTAAAAAAATACTTTTGATATCAGCGTATCAAAATTATTTAAAAATATCAAAAAAATATTAATTTTAAATAAATAAAAAATAACATAAAATCTAAAATTTTTAAAAAATACTTTTAAATATAAAAATAAACATGACATAACCGTAATAATCATAACAGGGCAGTTGATATGTGGAAAGCTTTTGAAAAAATCTTCAAAAACTACGAAGCCCAGGCCCGGTTTACAGCACAGGCATGTCTCCGTTGTTCAGTTCCTTTGTGAAACTAGCAAGAACCCAGAAATCTAATTCTGCACTTTGCCCATTTAAAGTAGGCTGCGTAAGCCTTGCCCGCTCAGATGGAGCCACAGACACGCCACCAAAACACCAGATTTGATGTCTCTTGGCCCAATCGATTTCTGGTCTCTACTAATCTAGCAACAATTTCGATTAATTTCAAAAGGGAACCTGTAAAAACGAAATTATATTTGTTTTGTGTCAGCAATTACAATTCCAATTTTAAAATTCTGAAAGAATCTAATCAAATAATGAAGTAAACTAAATTAGAGGCTTCTACTTTTGGTTTAGTTTTGGAAGCTAGACAAACACGACGAGGTCTCCATCGTGGTGGACTTATTTCTACAGAGGACAAGCTAATTCACAGTTCTTCATGCTTGTTTTCATTTTATACCAATTTAGTTTAGAAAGCTTCTCATTATATATATATATATAATCATGAAAAACGAAAGTAGCCCAGTTCAGACCCAAGTCAGGACCGAAATCACTGCAAAAATAGTAATAATAATAGTGAATTTCAGTTTTAAATCATTCTTATTGTGCCGTTCGAAGAGCACGGGTGCTCCACAAACATTGGCATGTGCGCTGCACATATAACCATTTTTTTTTTTAAAAAAAATATTTATACAAATACAAAATTACTCTTAATCTCACAAATATTAACAAAAAAAAAAAAACATAACAAAGAGACCAAAAAACCCCCTCCATCTTAGCTATAGATTTTTTAATTTAAAAGGTACTTTAGTAATTACAATGTGCCAATAAGGGAGTAAAAAACTGAATACACCCTTGCCCTAGAAATAAGAAAATTCAATTTTTAAGGATATTTTTGACATTATACTATGCAAATAAAAAACTTCTCTATCCTGATTCAGTTTTGTAATAGCAAATATTTTTCATAAAAAATACAATATCATCCTTAAAAGTATGTTATAAAGGTTAAATCATGAAGAGCAAAATAATAATTTTATGGTGCAAATTAATCACAATAAAATACAAGTATGTGCGCACCAAAAACTATTTAACAAAATGTATTGTCGTTGCATATATGACATGTTTCATGAACGGGACTTCTTTGTAATTACATGTACAAAACTTTTATATAAATACCAGGCTGACCTGCATTGAAAGGCAGCCACATTCCCCGAAGCTTACCCTAACCACCGTATGTTTTTAACGTTAACAACTTTGCATAAAAGACAAGTGTTCGGTTTACTTTCTTTGCTATTGAACGAGGTCTTTATGTTTAGTTGTAAAATGATTTTTTTATTTAAATTAAATTAAAAATTGTTTATTTATAAGGCATATTTTATTTCAAAAAGTTATGTTGGATCATTTTTATTAAACATATTTGTAACTTAAAGTCAATTTAACTTATTATTTTTGAATTATAATTAAGGAAAAAATAGTTTTTTATAAATACTATTAAATATACTCCAACCTAAAACTGATCGATCCAACTTTCTTCGATGATTCGCGTGGTCGGCAACAAGAAGCAACGGCATTACGTGGTGATGAAGCACCCTCAACTTCGTGAGGGATTCCTAAAAGTAATTTCTCACACGTTTAACCAATGTATCAAGTTATAAGAAATGTTTCACGCGTTAATTTGTTGTCACAGGCTGAATAATTTCTTTTTATATAAAAAATAATAAATTAAAAAAATTCAAGTCAAGTGTCATGTCATTAACTAAACTGACAATTAAAATATTTATAAAATAAATAAAAAATAACTAATAAAAAATACACCTGAATTTATTTGAATTATCAAACAATCCAATTAAACAAATAAAGCATCAGCTTAGAAAAAAGAAGGAAGGAAAGCCAACTACAATATTACTATAATTATATTACTGTAGATAGTAAAATGAGTTGCGAGGCACTGATAGTTTTTTTGGATAATAGCCTTCAAACCAAAAGAAAACAGTTTGCATCTGTCTTAATTCTATACGTATGTTCTTAACTGCAAAGGTTCCACATATAAATGTATCGGACCCTCTTTACCAATATCGATGTGCTGCTCTAAAAGTTGAAAGGAAATTCTGGAACAACCCCCCTACTCCCACGTCATCTCAAGTGGGAAGTCAATTGCTCCTCTTGCCAAGTAGATTACCCCAGGTTTAACAACAACTTCATCAAGTTAGTTTGTTTCCTGTGTCCTTCTTGAACGATTCCGTTTTTGAGTTCTATATAAGTAAAATGGGGTCTGAAGGAAAATAGAACCTGTTAATTGTGTATCTGAAAGAAAGTTCCTACACCATTAATAACCCAATTTCTTTCTCTCACTCCCAGTGGAGAAAATGTTAGCATGGATGTCTGGCTGTATACTCTTAAATATCCTGGTTTACCTTCAAACTCTATTAAATATTTTCTTCGCAAGTGTCAAAACAAGCCTGAGTTCTGAAAAGTTGAAGAAACAACAGGGTTGTGTTCAATATCATGACAGGGAACATCATGTAAAACTAAACCAGGCAGATATAAAAATGGTCATGAACAGGTTAGGATTGGTGTTTCACGAAGACTGCTTGGGTGGTGACGAGGGATTCGGTGCAGATGAGCTATTAAGTTTATTCGAGGAAGAGGAACCCCGCAGCTTGGAGGAGGTGAAGGAAGTTTTTGACGTGTTTGATGAGAACAAAGATGGGTTTATAGATGCAAGAGAGTTAAACAGGGTGATGCGTCGTTTGGGTTTGAAGGAAGGGATGGAAGTAGAGGAGTGTTCAAGAATGATCCAAGCCGTTGGAAAGGATACGAAGGAAAAGATCGATTTCAACGACTTTTTCAGGTTTATGGAGAGGTGTTATTACTGAACGCCTGTAACAACGTTGCTTGATGATTGAAAGACATGTGAATTATTATGAATATTTTTATTTTTGGACATTCTTGTTTCGTGAGGCTATTAATTAATCGAGTGCAAATTATTCTTCCTCCTGTTTTTTTTCTTTGAAACTGCTTGCTAGTGGTGCAACAATGTAGTATCATGGGAAGGCTTGACCTACTCCTTACATTAAGAATAAATCTAGATGGAAAGATAAATTTGTCATTTTATTTGTTATTTTCCTTTTCGTTTGCTGTCTGTCCGGACACAGGACCAGATGCCCAGCCCTGAATGCATTGACGTATGTACGTGTTCAAGACTGTATCTTTGTCTGGATGCGATGTTTTGTTGGGCCTGATGCAGACCCGGAACACAATATAAATACCAAATGTTTATGAGCTGTTGGGTCATCAATGTTTGTTGGATGTAAATCCGGAACCCCCACGCAAAAAAACGTAGAGAAGACGAAAGAAAGAAATATAAAGCAGCTGCTTAATGGTGGCGTGTTGGCCCGTGACAACAGTATACCGAAAGATCATGTCACCACATGATACGTTTCTTGAACGGCAGGTAACTATATGCACACGGAACTTTTTGCGCAGAAGTAGACAGTTGCAAACAGATGCACCCCATGTGGGTGAGGCATGAAATCACAGAAGATTCTGCCGATGAGGGAACGAAAGGAAACTGTGTTCAACAGTTCCCATCATGAATGCACTAGGAGGGGTGGGTGGTGTTTGCTTCTGGTTGCAGACTTTGTGCCTGAATTCTGCAGGCCCTTGAGAAAAGGATGTTTGACACAAGTTTCAGTTTCTTGTTTTGCGTCTTTATTAGCCTCCGCATCAGCAGCAGCAGCTGCGTCGTCACCGTGGCCTTCAACAACAAAATTGCACATCCTCTTCCACTTTGCGGTAACAAACCAAACCACCTCTTTCCCCTTAAAAAGCCACCCTTTAAAGGTCAAGCTCCTGATAATCTTCAACCTTTGTTTCCCTTTTGGACAACGTAAAGTTAGCAAAATACTCTGATACTAATGTCATTTCCTATTTTAATTTCAAGCCCTTTGAATTTGCTCCTTCCTTCTCAGTAGACTGCCACTCCATGTTTTATTCAAGGGTGATGCTATTCTTCACATACTATTTACAAACTCAATTACGTCCAATTAAACTCTATTGGGTCTATTCCATCGTAGAATATTGATCAGTTTATTTTAATTTATATGTGAATTTGACAAATAGTCCCTATCCTGTCCTCTGATTTCATGTAAGTGTCACCGCATGTTGCGTTCAGATTTGAAAAAAAGAAAAAGACACGTACCCAGACGATGGAATGAAGTTATATATCCTTATTATTTCGCCAGTATTGATAAGAGGCTGTTTTGAAGTGTGATTATTTATATTTGAAATGTATTAAAATAATAATTTTGTTTTTAAAATTTTATTTAGTGTGGTTATAATTGCCATTTATATTTGAAATACAGTGTAACAATATTTTTTATTTTTTAAATATTAATACACTGAAATTATTTAAAAATAAAAAAAAAATCAATTTTTAATGAAATGGTGGTTTATCAACTGTGACAAACACATAACATTTTTAAACCAATTAATGTGGCATTATCTTGTCGAAAGGTTTTTCAAATGAAGGACATTGGGATGTCATCATGTAATAAAATACCTATCTCTATAAGATTAGTTAGGTTGCTATGTTGTAATTTATTTTCTGAGTTCAAATCTTAAAATTAATATTCAAATCTTTTTATTAAATTTCTCTTAATCTATACTAAATCAACGTGAGAGCTGTATTGAGAAAGGAAATTAATCTGACTGGTGCTCAAGGATATTCAAGAAACCTGTTAACGTGGAATAAGAAAATATTTATTATCTTGTATCTTTATGATCTCTCTTATATTTTTCTTAAATGCTATCTTGCTTCTTCTTTTTTCAATATTTTTTTTTAATAATTGAGTTTGAATTATATCTAAAAGACTTGAAATCTTATGGTTGGAAACTCATTATCAGCTTTTTATATTATTGTTTCACTGTTTATTTATTTTATGTGGAATTAATATGTCTCATATTCCTCCAGCCTATTTTTAGAGCTTTGTTAAATGCATTAAGCTGTACAATCTTTACTAAGAAATTTAACTTCAATATCTTGACTGGGATATTAAATTTAATAGTCGAGTTTATATTATAGGTAAAAGAATAAAATCTTGTAATAAATAACTTATTCTCAATTTCATAAATGATTTTTTTGTTATTAATTTATTTATTTTATGTTTGATTGATGGTTTTATAATTTATCATAAATGAAAAACGGGTGTCATTTTTAACTGTCATAATTAATTAGTAAAAGTAACGAAAAAATATCACATTAGGCACACATAATGATGGAAGGGTCCCACTAGGCAGTACTGGTAATTTTGGACTGAGGAACAAAAATAGCACGGGCGATGGACGCTTTCAAACAAAGGAAAAGGCAAGCGACATCATCGTTGCTCCCCTCTTTCAAAAGCTGAAGATTAATGCTCTAAAATGACTTCAGATGGATAGAGGGCTTCAAAGAGGAGGACAAGTGCTTTATAGATAGAGAAATAAGAAGGGATAATATGACATTAATACTCCTTAATCGGATCTATTTGTTTCACTTTAGAAAGGGTCCTCATGTGATAGCAGAAGATTTCACTAAAAAGAAAACAAAAATAGAGTGCTGGTGTGACATGACAGCAACAGACGAATGCAGATTTTATCTTCTGCCATCCAACTGCAACAATTCACTAGAACCCCTTTCTCTTTTTCCTCTAATGGCCACTCGGTTATATTGTGGCACATCCACATTAAGCATCTCTATGATATGATTTCTGCACAAAAAAAAAAGGTTTACAGCTTTTTTCTCTTCTACACTTCTGACTTCATGTGGCTCCTACCCCGAGAAAGTCAATGAACGGTGGTGGAACAGTCTCAAAATGGCCGCTAACTCTGCTCTGATCTGCCACTGATGGGGATGAACGTGAAGGCTCCCTGGCTGAAACTGCTTGAGGTAATGTTGACGCTGTAGAGTCTGAGAAGCAATAAGGGTATTGGTGGTTTGACTGTTGCATTGTCAGCATGTATGAAGGGTGTTGTTGGGGATAGAAACCAGAAATGCGGGTTTCATCATTTGGCCTATCCCATGATATGGTTTGGCTGAACATGCCCATCGTGTCATTACTTTTGGGACCTGCAAGAAACACAGACCAATTACCAAGATGCAAATAACTACTGGCAGTTAAGAGAAAGAAGCATGCCCAAGTTTATACAGAATTTAGAGCAACAAATGAGTTAGGGGAGAAGGTTTGTTTCAGTCTGCGAAGCGAAGGAGTAAATGAAACCCAGATTAATCAACCTGGTTTCGACTGAAAATAAATTGAAGATAATAATAAAGCTAGGAAATGTGGTAGGCTATCCAAAAAGAAACCAATGAGGGAGCAGCACAGAAACCCAGATACACAAAAGATTACACAACATGAGCAAAAAAGAATGTTGAGAGAGGGGGAGAGAGAGGGATTGGGATTGGGGGATCACAAAGGACACATACTAGAGAAGAAATCAAAAGGTGTCTGCTGTGCACAAAACCCACTTTGAGAAACCTTAATGCTTAAGACTGATTCTCCCCCACTGGTCATGTGGGGGGATCCATTTAAGCCATAGTCAACCCCACCGCGACCAGCACCATTAAAGTTTCCGATTTGACAAGGAGATAACTTGTTTAATCCACCAGCACTGGAGATGTTGGGACAATATGGTGGTGGTACTGTTTTCATGCCTGCATCTCTACCGACAAAGCTTGGAATTTCCTCCATTCTTCTGTTGACAGATTGACTTAGCCTCCTTCTCCTGTAAGCACTTGATTGTTCTCTAAATTTTCTGGCCATTATGACATGCCAGTGGTTCTTGACTGCATTATCAGTTCTTCCAGGGAAAAGTCTTGCTATCATGGCCCATTTGTTACCATAAAGTCTATGAGCTTGCATTAGTCTCTCTTCTTCTTCTTCAGTGAAAGCTTTTCTGTTTATCCTTGGATCCAGCTGGTTAAACCACCTTAATCTACAGCTCTTACCTTCACATGACAATAATCAAAATGAGCCAAGCAGAAACTAGTGAGAAGAACCCCTTAACAAATGACAGCGGAAAAATTTGAACAGAAGTTTACAGTTTCTTTCTCATTAGTATTTTACCTGATCTACCTTCTAACTTCTCAGCTATAAGGTTCCAGTTTTGAGGGCCATAAAGAGCCACGAGTTTTTTCAGCTTGGAATCTTCTGCCGGCCTCCAATGCCCTCTTGTACAAAGCTTTGACTGCCCACTTTCTGTTTCCTTGCCACTCATCATATTTCCATCTGGATTTTCTTCATTAGATGAGTTAGCATCGTGATTTACAGTCTCGTTGTTCTCTCCGAACCCATCACTGCTATCAGAAACCCTGATCTCCACAGCAGTATCACTGTTAGCATGATAGTTTCCCGTGAAAGGAAATCCCCAAGTAAGCCTCCCATTTTCCATTTCATGAAAAGAAGAGGTAGGTGGTGTCATTCCAGATTTGGGACAAAGAGAACCAATGTCTCTATCGATAATTCCCATTGAAGAACAAGGAGAAGAAGTGGAAGATGAGGGGGAAGTAGAGTAGTAACAAGCAAGGCCATTGATTTCTGCTGTTATTATCTGGCGTTGCACGTGTAACAAGGTTCTGGCCATGCCTTCATTTCTATCTCTGACAAATGCAGTTATACAACTGAACAAGAAGTCATCTTGTGATTATCTAAACTCTGAAGATAAGAAGCTAGCTTTGACAGACAGTGATGAAGCGAAGGAGACATGTAAGTCTCCTGATACCAGAGAAAAACAGCAAGGGCTTTAAGAGAGAGACCTACACGGTTTCAGTGTTATTATCTTTTCTACCTTCACTCCGAGACTCCGGGGAAAGGAGAGAAGGCTTAAGGGGAAACGCAGT